AATAATTCACGGTAAAAAGTAATATAATAATATTTGAGGGTAAATAACAATATAATAACAATTTAGGATAAAAAGTAATAGAATAATAATTTAGGCCTCTATAGTCAAAGATAATGTAAGGAGTTTGTAGCAAATTTTGGTGTTTTTTTTATAAATTTTTAATTAATTTTTAGTGATTTTTTTAAGATAAACTTGTAAAAAGTAAACAAAATGGCATGTGGTAGGATAAAAAACAATGACTACTCTCCTTTGAATGGGTGCCACGTGTGATTCTCTAAATTTAATATTATTTATTTTGGATTTCACTTCTAAAATTCATAATAAATAAATTAAAAATCAAAAAATACACTGGAAAGTCCTACGAACTCCTTGTGACATTCTCTACGCAACCAAACTATGAAAATGTAATTTCACCTATAAAATTGATGACAAAAACTCACATTTATTTCTAAACAACCTAAAACACTAGTTAATGCTCCATAATATAATACTCATCTTCTTTGATTCGACGATTACCGTGAACATAAATATGTAAAATCATGATTTTAAACCTTCATAGCCAAAGACAATGTCATAAGGAATTCATAAAAAATTAATTAAATATCAGAAAAATACACCGAAAATTGCTACAAACTCCTGATAACATTATGTTCGATTATAAAGGTCTAAAATCATGATTTCACATATTTGAGTTCATGGTAAGCGTTAAAATCAAAGAACACGAGTGTTATGTTAATAGAACATAATTTAGTGTTTTAGTTTGTTTTGAAACAAGTTGAGTTTTTGTTATCATTTTCAAATTTTATAAGTTAAAATTATATATTTGGAGTTTGAGGGAGTAGAGAATGTGACAAGAAGTTCGAACTAATTTTCGGTGTATTTTTTGGATTTGTATTTAATTTATTATCAATTTTATAAGTTAAATCATAGAAAAATAGTATTTAAATCGTATGGGACGACACATGGCTGAAGTTGAATGGGGCGCAGTCAGTGTGTCTGATGGTTATCCTCCTGTCAACGCGCCACATGTCAGTTTTGATACTTTTATCAAATTTATGTTTACAAATTCATAAAAAATTGATTAAATATCATAAAAATACACCGAAAATTGCTAAGAACTCCTGATAATATTATCTTCGATTATAAAGGTCTAAAATCATGATTCCACATATTTGAGTTCTTGGTTGGCGTTAAAATCAAAGAACACGAGTGTTATGTTATAGAACATAATTTAGTGTTTTGGTTTGTTTTGAAATAAAGTTGAGTTTTTGTTATCATTTTCAAATTTTATAAGTCAAAATTATATTTTTGGAGTTTGAGGGCATAGAGAATGTCACAAGAAGTTCGTATCAATTTTCGGTGTATTTTTTGGACTTGTATTTAATTTATTATAAATTTTATAATTTAAATCCTAGAAAATTAGTATTAAATCATGTGGGGCGACACATGGCGGAAGTTGAATGAAGCGCAGTCAGTGTGTCTGCTGGCTGTCCTCCTGTCAATGCGCCACGTGTCAGTTTTATACTTTTATCAAATTTATGTTTAAAAATTCATAAAAAATTAATTAAATATAAGAAAAATACACCCAAAATTGCTACAAACTCTTGATAACATTATGTTCGATTATAAAGATCTAAAATCATGATTTCACATATTTGAGTTCATAGTTTAAAATCAAAGAACACGAATGTTATGTTAATAGAACATAATTTAGTGTTTTGGTTTGTTTTGAAACAAGTTGAGTTTTTGTTATCATTTTCAAATTTTATAAGTTAAAATTATATATTTGGAGTTTGAGGAGTAGAGAATGTGACAATAAGTTCGAACCAATTTTCGGTGTATTTTTTGGATTTGTATTTAATTTATTATCAATTTTATAAGTTAAATCCTAGAAAAATAGTATTAAATCGTATGGGACGACACATGGCCAAAGCTGAATGGGGCGTAGTCAGTGTGTCTGATGGCTGTCCTCCTATCATTGCTCCACGTGTCAGTTTTGATACATTTATCAAATTTATGTTTAAAAATTCATTAAAAAATTAATTAAATATCAGAAAAATACACCAAAAATTGCTACAAACTCATGATAACATTGTCTTTGATTAAAAAGGTCTAAAATCATGATTCCACATATTTGAGTTCATGATAAGCATTAAAATCAAAGAAGACGAGTGTTATGTTATGGAACATAATTTAGTGTTTTGGTTTGTTTTGAAACAAAATTGAGTTTTTGTTATCATTTTCCAATTTTATAAGTCAAAATTATATATTTGGAGTTTGAGGGTGCAGAAAATGTGACAAGAAGTTCGTACCAATTTTCGGTGTATTTTTTGTATTTGTATTTAATTTATTATCAATTTTATAAGTTAAATCCTAGAAAAATAGTATTAAATCGTATTGGGAGACACATGGCGGAAGCTGAATGGGGCGCAGTCAGTGTGTCTAATGGCTTTTCTCCTGTCAACGCGCCACGTGTCAGTTTTGATACTTTTATCAAATTTATGTTTACAAATTCATAAAAAATTGATTAAATATCATAAAAATAAACCGAAAATTGCCACGAACTCCTGATAACATTATCTTCGATTGTAAAGGTCTAAAATCATGATTCCACATATTTGAGTTCTTGGTGAGCGTTAAAATCAAAGAACACGAGTGTTATGTTATAGAACATAATTTAGTGTTTTGCTTTGTTTTGAAATAAAGTTCAGTTTTTGTTATCATTTTCAAATTATATTTTTGGACTTTGAGGGCTTAGAGAATGTCACAAGAAGTTCGTATCAATTTTCGGTGTATTTTTTGGATTTGTATTTAATTTATTATCAATTTTATAAGTTAAATCCTAGAAAAATAATATTAAATCGTATGGGGCTACACATGGCGGAAGCTGAATGGGCGCAGTCAGTGTGTCTGCTGGCTGTCCTCCTGTCAATTCGTCACATGTCAGTTTTGATACTTTTCTCAAATTATGTTTAAAAATTCATAAAAAATTAATTAAATATCATAAAAATACATCAAAAATTGCTACAAACTCCTGATAACATTATGTTCAACTATAAAGGTCTAAAATCATGATTTCACATATTTGAGTTCGTGGTAAGCGTTAAAATCAAAGAACACGAGTGTTATGTTAATAGAACATAATTTAGTGTTTTAGTTTTTTTTGAAACAAGTTGAGTTTTTGTTATCATTTTCAAATTTTATAAGTTAAAATTATATTTTTGGACTTTGAGGGTGTAGAGAATGTCACAAGAAGTTCGTACCAATTTTCGGTGTATTTTTTGGATTTGTATTTAATTTATTATCAATTTTATAAGTTAAATCCTAGAAAAATAATATTAAATCGTATGGGGCTACACATGGCGGAAGCTGAATGGGCGCAGTCAGTGTGTCTAATGGCTATCCCCCTGTCAATGCGCCACGTGTCAGTTTTGATACTTTTATCAAATTTATGTTTAAAAATTCATAAAAAAATTGATTAAATATCAGAAAAATACACCGAAAATTGCTATAAACTCCTAATAACATTATCTTCGATTATAAAGGTCTAAACTCATGATTCTACATATTTGAGTTCTTGGTAAGCGTTAAAATCAAAGAACACGAGTGTTATGTTATAGAACATAATTTAGTGTTTTGGTTTGTTTTGAAACAAAGTTGAGTTTTTGTTATCATTTTCAAATTTTATATGTCAAAATTATATTTTTGGAGGTTGATGACGTAGAGAATGTCACAAGAAGTTCGTATCAATTTTCAGTCTATTTTTTATTATTTGTATTTCATTTATTATCAATTTTATAAGTTAAATCCTAGAAAAATAGTATTAAATCGTGTGGGGCGACACATGGCGGAAGCTGAATGGGGCGCAGTCAGTGTGTCTCAACGAATTTATTACTTTTTCTTAGAAAATTTATAACTAAATACACAAATATCACAATAATGTTCCGAAAATTGCTACGAACTCATTAAGACTTCATCTTCTTACTGAATTCCATGTTTCATGGTTACGCTACGTTAGTATTTTATTATTATTTATCCTAAATTATTATTATTATTATTATATTACTTTTTAGCCTGTACATTTGTTAATTATATTTACTCCAAATTTTTATTTTTATTTTTATTTTTCGTGCGAATAGACCATTTCTGGTGCTAATCAGTTTCTCTCTTCTTCAATTTGTTAATTTTTTTTTCTTTTTTGGGGTTAAGGGATGTTTTGAAAAATAAAATGGCAATATACAAACCATCCATTCTACAACATCAGGAAAAAATTATTAAAAGTCATTCACTATTCAAGTTTTGCTTAAGAAACGTGTAACCAAATCATTTGGAATATGCTAAGTGGGAAAATGTCATTCCCAAGCACCGGTGAAAAGACACCTACTCACTCCATGCATGCCTTTTTTTTACCAAATATTAAGATTGCAGTTGTGCAAAATATCTGTATCAGTAAAATGTCATTCGTAGCCGTCTATGATGTCAGTAATCATTCCACTATATAATATATATTATACATTTATATATAAAACGGTTTATGACAGCACAAACACCAGACAAAATAGATTAAAACCCAACATTTAAACAACATTTGTACAACGTAGCTAGCCAACCTAGAACTAAAGATAAGCAAGTCCACAATTTATAAAAACCGTAAAAACATACTACAACTAATTATAAGGGTATGGATTTCCTGGCACAACATACACACGCATCACCTTGAACTAAAAAACACTCTCACGGTGTCATTTGCATCGATTGCAACAAGTCCAGAAGGCAGGATTTATCTTTTCTTCAATAGGCCAGCCTTGAATAACAAAACATCATTCGTTGTTGTTACAAGCGCTGCAGTGATTGAACTTAATCTTCCCATAATAACAGAAAAAACTCAGCTTAATCTTCGTCTCAAAGCATCCCTGGTTCCTTTTATATCAATGTTGTTACATTGATTCAAAGAACACAGGAATTCTAATGCATCCTCTTTTGACTGACCAATTCCGGACATGCCAAGTAGTCCAACTAGATATGCCGCTTCCATATGGCCTGTCGTGACTGCAATGCGCATCTCATACAACGCTTCCATGTTACTCCGCATGAAAAACACTTTGAACGCTTCTCTAAATATCGACTTAGGGTTCTCGCAAGCCCTGCATTGTTACAAGAAATGCTGGACCGCAGGATTGGCATGGTACCAGCTAGGATGGTCTGGGTACTTTGCCATTGAAATGGTGTTCCACACTTGTGGAGTGTTTGCCAACGTATGGAACAATGGGCACACAGATGCCATACGGAAGAGATCTTCCGTTGATTGGGTTGCCACGTATAACGTCTCTTTAAACCAAGCTAACTCCGAGTGTAGTGAAATGTTTCGAATTCATTGAAATGTTTTTGGAATGGAACGATTTGAGGAGTGGAAGAGGGGAGAAATGAGAATATATAGGGTTTTAGTTTTGTTTTAGCCTCTGTTTGTAGTGTTTTGAAAAGGTGTTTCCACTTGGGGTTTTTCCAAGTTGACCTTTTTTAAAGAAACTGAACCCAACACCCTAAAACTCAAGACAAGAAAAGGGAAAACGTCATCGAAATGCAAAGAGAGTCAGATAGTCAAAAAGTCAATTAATAACCTATTTGCATAGCCATTTTAGGATTTTCCCGCCATCAAATTCATTGATACAAATGTGATGGATGATTGATTGTTTACTGCATGTATATCGTATGATATTGAATGTTTATTGAAGGTTTATTGATTGTTTACTGCATGTATTTCGCATGTTATTGCTCCGATATTGAATGTTTATTGAAGGTTTATTGATTGTTAACTGCATGTATTTTGTATGTTATTGAATGTTTATTGATTGTTTACATGTTTATTGAAGGTTTATTGATTGTTTACATGTTTATTGAAGGTTTATTGATTGTTTACTGCATGTATTTCGCATGTTATTGAATGTTTATTGAATGTTTACTGATTGTTAATTGCATGTATTTCTCATATTATTGAACCGATATTGAATATTTATTGAAGGTTTATTGATTGTTTACTACATGTATATCGCATGTTATTGCTCCAATATTGCATGTTTATTTGGGGCAAAAGTATCACTCAAGTAAGATTTAAGGAGTTAGATTTAAGGGGGGAAACGGTCCTTATTCTTTCTTTTAGTATGAATAACAACTGTTAAGCAGAATTTTCTATTCAATACGACTTCCTTATGGTTGGTGTAATTGGGGAGTGATGTATATTGCATGTCTATTGCGTGTATATTGCATATTTATTGCATGTATATTGCTTGTCTGTTGTGTGTATATTGCTTGTCTGTTGCCTGTGTATTGTTGTTATTTCCTTCGTAAGCAATAAACAATCAATACACACGTAATAAATGTACGATATGCATGCAATAGACAAGCAATATTGACGCAACAGACATGCAATATAGACGTACCAATATACATTATTTTTATGGAACATAATTTAGTGTTTTGGTTTGTTTTGAAACAAAGTTGAGTTTTTGTTATCGTTTTCAAATTTTATAAGTCAAAATTATATTTTTGGAGTTTTGGGGCGTAAAGAATGTCACAAGGAGTTCCTATCAATTTTCGGTGAATTTTTTGGATTTGTATTTAATTTATTATGAATTTTGTAAGTTAAATCCTAGAAATTATTATTAAATGGTATGGAATGACAAATGGCGAAAGCTGAATGGGCACGGTCAGTGTGGCTGACTAACTGTCCTCCAGTGATTGCACCACTGTCCATTTTGATCCTTGTTTTTTTTTTAATAAAAAAATTCGTAAATAAATAGTTAAAAGTCAGAAAAATACATTGAAAATTGTTACAAACTCCTTATGGCATTATCTTCAATTACAAAGGCAATTAAGGGCAATACAATGACAATACAAAGGCAATTAGGGCAATACAATGGCAATATGAAGGCAATTGGAGGCTACATAATGGCAATACTAGGGCAATACGAAAACTCCAATAGTCCATCTTAGAGAGAGAGAGAGAGAGAGAGAGAGAGAAAGGAGGAGGGGGGAATACAAGGACATAATACACAACGTATACAATGTTCTCTCTTTAATGTATAATATAAGTAAAAGTAATTCTCCATTGTTCTTTGAAAAAAAAAAAAGTATGTTTCTATTGCACACACTTGCGAATATAAAAAGAACAAATTCAAGACTGAAATTTCTCAAGTAAATTGAACTCAATTTCATTGAATGAGGACTAAATTACATGACTAAAATATAGTTCCTCAATTACATGTTTTTTTTCCATATAATTACAGCACACTTCCTGTGACAGAATGGAATGTTGTCCCACGCCAAATTGATGATGGTTCTCAACGACAACAATCTTCCATAAGTCAAAAATCTAGGTCCAACTGTCATTAAAAAAATAATAATAAATATAAAAAAACCTGCAGAAGAGATGGCAAAACAAGAAATTAGCAAAAAAGAGAAACAAAGACAAAAAAAATAAATAGAAATTGAGACAAGAAAACCGCAATCAGAAACTAAAAGACCTAAGAAACTATGCAAAGAGCTTCCTAACCTAGAACACCAGCAAGAGAAAATCGGAAAAAGTGGAACACATAAAGCACAAAAAAAATGTTAAACTAAATAAAAGGGACATAACCAAATATCAAAACACCTCAAGGGGTGAACTTAATCAACCAACCAATAATCAATATAACCCAACAACATCCATAACATCAATACAGAACCAGATACAACTACAACATCCATAATAGCAATACACAGAACAATGAAACTAAAAAACAGCTGCATTCCAATCCGATAAGATTGAAGAAAAGTAACTATTCCTATACAAAGTGATATTACGGGAACATGATTAGGAACAAAAAGAACCATTCAAAAATCATCAGATGGTTTGGCAAAAAATGAGGCAATGTGGAATTGTCTGACTCAAGAAGCTCCACATGTACTTTATAGCTTCCTAAAGAAGGCAATAATGAACAGAACAACCAAAATTTTCTGAAGTAGTTCAATATTCTCCATTTTCTAAAAAACAAACAATTTATGATAAAATAAAAACAAACCAATCTTATGTTTCTATATAGGTGTAAGAGAATCATGAATTGAAACAAATAATCTATGGGGGCACCGTTAGAGCAAGGAAATCAGATCCATATTTTACATTTTATAGCAAGCCATGTCAAGGGAGGTCTACTTAATGCTCTTGTAATACTTCAAATTTTGCTCAAGCATCTCATGAAGATGCCTATTTTCAACTTTCCCATGTTCCAACACTTCAAACACCAAAAGATGTGTATTTCAATGGCTGATTAGCATCACACTCACACAAAATCTAATAGCATAAGAAACAAGCACATTCCCATTCATTTCAATTAATAACTCCATTTCCTAATATCAACAAGTAGGTCCATCGAATAGTAAGCTAATCTTACAATTCAGAACAACAATGTCAACCAAGAGCGTAGGTACTGGTAATTTAGTAACACAACTTCTATTAATACTAGAAGAATTTAATAACCTATCTACACACCCAGGCACTAAAATTGTAAGGCCAAAATCTGAAATATACAAAGATCAATTAAAAACTACAATAATACCATTATCAATGATCAATTAAAAACAAGTAGTCCACTTGATAATTCATAAAGCCACAGCTCATAAATTAGGCATTGAATGAATCCCTAAATTAGAATTTCTAAAATTAACCCCTATGTTCTAAATGCCCAACTGAATCCCTAATTCCTAAATCCCTAAAGTAGAATTTAGAAAGAAAAAAAAATTGAAATTGAATGACATGAAGAATAAGAGAACCAGAGAAGTAGGTGGTTCAGGTCAGGAGGAGTACTGAAATTTGAAGATGGAGAAGAAGAGGACTCACAGTTGGAGAGCAAAGGAGAGAAGGCTGGAGCGGCGCCATGAATGCCCCTACTGTTGCAATAATACGAAAGGGGGATCAACGAATTTATAATAGACAGAGAGTACAAAACCAATATTAGAACTCACCACTGTGGAGAACGACGACGGAGGTCACGACTGTGGCTTGGTTGTAGAGTCGCGATAGTGGCTTCGCAGTGGAGGTCGTGAGTTGCAGCGGCTTGGATAGGGTCAAACTAGGGTTCCAAATTTGAGGAGAGCTGGATTATGATGATGGATGGGTGGAGAACGGGATTGGACAGTAGCGAGATGGCTGGCGAGCTGGAGTTGAGGCAAGATTTGGGAGAGTGCGAGAGAGGATAGGAATTAGGAGAACTTGGGCGTCAGAAAATGAATTTTTGAGGTGATAAAGTGTCAATAATAAAAAAAGACTCAAAACCCTCCGTTGTGTTTTTGTTGGTTGCAAGACATTTGCCGAATGGATTTTGGTTCTTTGATAATCACAAACCAAAGATGGCGAGAGAGAGAGAGAGAGAGAGAGAGAGAGAGAGAGAGAGGAACATATTGCAGAGTGGGTGGCTTGCGGGGAAGGAGGGTTAACCAGGATGAAAGAGCGTGTTGTGCACTTTCGGATTGCCTCTTTGGGTATGGGTAATTTCAACCCGGTTTTACCAAAAAGACAACATTGAAAATTCACCGTTGGATTTTATCTGACGGCTCTTAGATACCCCTCAAACACACCCCTAAGAATGGACAAAGAACAATGATATACAGGTACCCATATCTCATTTACACATAACTAATCTTTCAGGACACCAAAGTTTGTCTAAACTTATTATTGCTTGGGCCTATAGACAAGCTGATAGACAGTTGCTCTGGGTTTTGTTTTTTCCGGTAAATGTTTAAAATTGGATTAGATTGGATTATACTAAATTGTATTAACTTCTTTTGTACAACGGCATTTGGGAGTACCCTAAGTTTTTGATCTTTGATATTTTGGAGTTTGGAGTGTGAAGCTTGTGGCATTTTGGATTGTATTTTGACGTTATGGAATTACTGATGTGAATTTTGACATTTTAGGATTTTTTTTTCTAGAACAAACAAATTTTATTAATAAAAGGATAAATACACGAGATATACAAGAAGAACACACTCCAAATGGAAGTTCTTGCATACAATAAATCCAACAAGATATTGAGTAATAACTATTACAAATTCAAGCTCAGTTCACTCAGAGTTGACAGATAGACGATCAAGAAGACTGTTTGCAGCACCAGTGCTACAGAGAGACCATGAGAACAATGAATATGCATGAACAGGAAATAGAAGCACCAAAAGTGAAAGGGTCTTACCGCTCAACTTCCATTGGCAAAGAAGGCCACAACACCTTCAACATTCCACATGATCTCACAACACCCAGTATGAAACCATCTAGATCTAGCAACTCTACCTCCTCAACATAAAGGATTTTAAAAGCCAATTCAAAAGGACTGGGGATAAACAAAACCCAGCACAAAATTGGGGAGAAGCAAAACCCAGCATAAAACTGGGGAGAAAAATCTCTCTACAACATGACAAGGGAGAGAGTCACCCGGTTTATTAGCTGAAGGGTTGGTTTTAAGGAAAAACACCTTGAACCAAAGGGGATTACAGAGAAAAGAGACCTAGAAGAAAGGAGAAGAAGGAAGAAGGGTCGGACAATTTAGGATTTGGGAGGTAAATTTTAACATTATGCAGTTTGCCAACAGTTGAATCCAATACTTTTGTTAACCAGAGTAGAAAGGGAGTATTTGTTGAGGCCATTTTATCTCAAGCTTTTAGAGCCCTTGATGTAGAGATTTGACTTGGTAACAAGTGGCAAACTACCAACCAAAGAACAAACAAACACATGTGCCCCTATCCCCACCACAAAAGATGAGCTTCATCCAATGTTCAACTTAAACCTTCCTAATCCATTCTTCTCCTAAGTCCTACTTCATATTCCAACTTCTATAATTCCTTGCATCCAAATACTTTTGTAATGGCACTTACTTTTATTTCCTCACTATCCATTAAATCTTTAACCACTTCTTCTCCAAATCCAAAGGCTCCCCCAATTCGTCTGCAATCCCTCTCCAACAAGCCCTTTTCACTGGTCTGCCAATTAGACCCTGAGAGACACCATTTTCATGGTAATCATTTCTTTTCCTAACTAGCATATGTGAGCTACTGTTTGTGATGAACATCTAAGTTTCAAGTATACTAGCTTACTGGGTTTTCTCAAAAAGGTTAGATTGTTCCAGCAAGCAATGCAAGACAGTTAATGAAGATTCGAAGAAATGGAGAAGCATTGTTTCAGCAGCAATGGCAGCTGCAGTTATTAGCTTTAGCTCTGGCATGCCCGCCATTGCTGATCTCAATAAATTTGAAGCTGACACACCTGGTGAATTTGGGATTGGATCAGCTGCCCAATTTGGTTCCGCAGACCTCAGGTCCCATTTCTTTTTAGAAACTGTATGTTGCAAGCATTTTTGGGTTCTGAGTATAAAGGTTGAATTCCCTTCCAATGTTGTTATGCAGGAAAGCTGTACATGTGAATGAAAATTTCAGGTAATTTTTCATCTCTGCACCATGTTTAGCCATATGCCATAGCCCATAATTTGGACCAATTTTACAAAGAAAATAGATGAAAAGAAAAGTTGCTGATTTTGTTTTTGCTATCTGTAACATGGTGTTTTGTTTGATTGCAAGCTTGCTGCTTTATGGCAATTTTTTTTCAGTTTGTGCAATCTTGTATTTAAAATCAATCTAAATGACTAATACAGAAGAGCCAATTTCACTTCTGCGGATATGAGGGAATCTGATTTCAGTGGTTCAACATTCAATGGTGCATACCTTGAGAAAGCAGTCGCATATAAGGCAAGTTTTGCAGGTAAGATTGCTGTCGTTGAACGTCGTATCGTACACTTATAGAGAAACCGCAATATGCACAAGTGACATTGAGACTAGAAGTACAAATTGAAATAACTATAGCATTTTCATCATCCAGTAAATAATTCACATCAGAAAGACAGAAACCCCCACTTCATCATTATTTCCATTCCTGAGAGGTCATATCCATCCAGCCCTGCAAGTTAGAGCATTTCTTGTATGCCTTTGTCACACCGTTGCATAACGCTCTATTGAAACCTGCACTTATTTGGCATTTCAAAAGTTCTTATATTGTTCAAAGATTTGCAACCCAGCTACTGCATCTTTTCTTATCATGATCCATGATCCAGGATCCAGGATTGGTATCTTTGCCAGGAATCTTATTGCATTGGTATCTTACAACTAAACTAATCTTCACAACTGTATCAGGTGTCAATTTTCATACACAAAATCTTTAATTTGTTAACATCTTCTGACATTTGACAGGTGCAGATTTGAGCGACACATTGATGGATCGTATGGTATTGCCTGAAAGCTCAGCACAAAATCCTTAACCATTTGACTTCGGCATAGTTTTAGGCACAGTTTTGATATTAAACTTGAAGGAGTTAGTTGAAAGACTACCTAGTTTTATTTCCATTGCTTAAGAATTATGATGATTACAGGTCCTTAATGATGCTAATCTCAAAGATGCCGTGCTTGTTAGATCAGTTCTCACCCGAAGCGATCTTGGGGGTGCCCTCATTGAAGGTGCTGACTTCAGTGACGCTGTCTTGGACCTCCCCCAGAAGCAGGTACTGACCTAGCCTTCTATATTTCTACAACTGTGTTGGAAATTTGTAACATTTTCTTCTTTAGCATGCATATTCCTACTAGTTCTTGGGTTTGTTCATATAGGCTCTTTGCAAGTATGCAAGTGGGACGAACCCAACCACAGGGGTGAGCACAAGAGCAAGCTTAGGTTGTGGGAACAGTCGACGAAACGCTTATGGCACTCCCTCATCCCCTCTGCTAAGTGCTCCGCCTCAGAGAATGCTTGATCGGGACGGATTCTGTGATCAAGGCACTGGTCTTTGTGATGTAAAATGATTCCAAGGCATGGTAATTAGTTTTACCAACATCATTGATCACATACGATAAATGTGTGTAGATATGTATGACGGATAAGAGAAAATGCAGAACCAAAACTACCTGTACATCCTTAAAGCCTTAACTATGATACACATCTGAAACAGAAGGAATCAGTTGTTGATTATGATCATATCTTGAGTAATGTATTGATGAGAAAAGTTTTCCAATGCTTCTGTTGCAATTGGAGTATCATGATCAGTGCTACTTTCTATCTCATTTCCCATGACTCTGATTTCAAATTTCACTTGGAGCTGGTTTACAGTATGCAATAAGAGGAGGATTTGTACAAAGTAGAGTGAAAGAAATTAGGATTTTTGCAGTCATCTATTTCAAACCAAAACTAAAACGGGTACAGCAAATTGTTCAACTTCAATTTTTCTAGACTTTGCATCCTGTAATTTAACAATTAGGAAACAAAAACACGGGAAAAAAGAAGAAAGAAAACCTGGGTTTAGAGAAGCATCTGATGGAACTGCACGTTCTTAATTCCTTACCAACCCTTGACAGTCCAATGCCAAAACAAAGTGCATTGTGTGCCACAACTACTATGAGTTAAATTCTCCTCTTTAATTAGAAAGTTTTGTTTTTTTTTAGAATCAAATAGATATCAAATGCAATTCATATACCACAAAATAATGATATTAAAGTCATTTTAATTTGAGACACCGAGTTATTAATAATAGGCTCACAATTCTTAAAAAGTAATATATTTCTAGCTTTCCAAATTTTCCATATAATCAAAAGGGCAATGTGTACATCCAAAGACGAGAACAAAAGGAAATTAGCAAATAAACTGCTTTGACAATTCATAGCAATTGTTATGTTACATGATTACAACAAATCACTTTGACAAAACAGGAAACATAAAACAAATAGCTACTTCCTCTGTGCAGCAGGCAATATCCGTTCCGAAGGAAACCTGGAAACTATTAGTATGACTTTGCAAAAATAGCTACTTCTTCTGCAGGGTTACCAGTCATCAAGCATGATTTAATCCCATGCGGCTGTTCAAAAGGAAAACACCTAATGGTTGCCCCTGTTTCTTCTTTTACTCTTAACTCCTCTTTGTCACTGTACCAATCATTGGAGCTCAATATCAGCATCAGAAGTGCAATTCATATTTATTGAATTAACAAAGTCAAGATAAACATACCCAGCAGACCATGGACCTCTTGCCCATTTTCCATGGGAGATTGCAACTTTGAGTTCATCATATGAGCTGACATCCACAATATTGCTGCCAAAAAACCTCTCTTCTTGTCAATTCCTCCATAATTTTCCAGCAAAGTAAAAGGGAATAATAAATGTTAAGATGATTTGAGTACTACTACTATCAATTCAATTCTTTTTACAAGATGCCTTATAAAACTCTATCAAACAGAAAGCATCTTAAGACCGTAGAGTGATAAATGTTGGAGCAAGAAAGCACCTATCCCGAAATGATTTTGCTTTTTCCAAAAGTGACGACTGGATCTCATCCAACTTGTCCTTGATATAAGCCTCCAAAACCGAAGGCTCCATGGATATTCCAAAAACCTTCCCTTGCTTTCCAGGAACATCTCTTCTAGATACAACCACACTCTGGCTTGAAACATCACGAGGGCCAATTTCAATCCTCAAAGGGACTCCCTAAAAAATTAAGGCCTGTTATTGGGGTGATTGACAAGAAGAGAACATTTTCATGCAGCTACTGTTATCTTAAAAGAAAATATATTGTAAACAGCTTCTTCTAAAAGATAGATCCCATACATTATTTGTGCCTGCAACAGAATCAGCACTCAAAAGAAACTATTAACTCACAGGAAGTATATGTATGTGACCAATACCAGTCTAAGAATGAGGAAGGCTCATTTTATTCATAAAAGTATCAAGCGAACATCCCAGTCAACTCTCATGCAAGTCAAACAATGAGAATGAATGAGATGGCTAATAGATGTAAGTTTTTCAACTCGTGTCACAGAGAACTTCTAAATATATAAGTTGCTCTCAAGTCATATGAATGCTATGCCAAAATTAACATGCCAAAGAGTACCAATTTCTGCTTCATCTTTAAGGATAAACACAAACCTTCATCTCCCAGAAATTGAATTTCCATCCTGGTGTTCTTTGATCAGAGTCATCAAGTTTAACTTTAATGCCTGCAGCATGCAGTGCTTCCTTTACAGATGATGCAGCATTAAGAACTACTGCTCTATCGTCATCCTTCTTCCAAATTGGTATGATCACCACCTAAAGCAACCAGTGCAGTTTTTATAAGGAAAAAAAAAAGGCATGCATGCATACACGAATGGACACATAAAACACACTAAACAAGCACACCAAAATGAACTTTAAGCATGACAAAGTATCCATTATTATGAGAACAAAGAATGCTAAACTCTAAATAATTTTGTAGAGTGGGAGAATATATTAATCCGACTACAATACACCAGAAGATCAAATGGATGGTTTCTGTTTCAAAAATTTCTTAACCAAACGGTGAACTATAACAATACAAAATTGACAAACACATCCAAACAATCTGGATACAGAATTTCTCTCAAACACAAGGGACAATCTAACCATGGATTCGATGTCCATGGAAAGCAAGTCCTAAGCCGGCTTCCATGTTACTGTTCTATTAAGAAAAAACTAAAAGAACCCAATATGTGGAGTTATCAAAACAGAGTGCCTTTCACTTTGACATCATTAATTCCCCTTTATGCATCGGAATTTTCAATCAATGAGATACACCTTATAGATTTGTTACAAAATAACAAGCCAGAAAAAATCGACACAAATGCTTATCTTGAACATATTCTATAGTTAGATTACTCCACCATTGTCTTGCTCCTCTGCTTATGAAGTTGTTCACATCTATTGCATTTGCCGAACATATTAAGGAATCAATCCCAATAAATTGCGACTCACAAACAAGTTTCCAGATACTCCTGTACTCACAGAATATGCTAAGATACTGACATCAATGAATGACGGACTGTACTTCTCAAAAAGTCTGTTTTGAAGACAGTCTTACTGCAGCTTTTGATTTACGTACATATAAGCAAATCACCACAACTCTAGAAGTACGCATTAGCAACATAAAATGCAAAAAGTTCTCCAACTTTAGCTTACCTGTATCGGTGCAATCTTTGGGGGAAGCATTAAACCTGTATCATCTCCATGGGTCATGATAATACCACCAACGAAACGGGTACTGACAGCCCACGAAGTCTGCCATACATGTTGCCTTAGTCCACTTTCATCGGTAAACTGTGCAAGCACAAATTTTGGTCAAATGGATCATATACAATTAAAGCATACATGAATAATGATTAGTCAATTACAGGAAACAATGATATAAGTTGAAGACTCTAGAAGGAGGATTAAAGATCCTATTCCCTTAAATAGAATACTACAAATGAGGCTTCGATTTCTTGAAGCATCAGGAATAAAACAGCAAGGACAGCACTATCATAGAAGAATACCTGTGTTCCAAAGGCACGAGAAAAATTCTGCCCAAGATTATGGCTGGTTCCAGCCTGTAATGCCTTCCGATCACCCATCATAGCTTCTATGGTATAGGTCTTCACAGCACCAGCAAATGTTTCCACTTTTGACTTTCGACCTGCAATAACAGGTATTGCAGTTTGCTCATAAGCAAATTTTGTATACACGTCAATCATCTGTATAGCCTGCAAATCAGCAGCAGTAATGCATTAACCAAATGGTACTCATTTTGCTACTGTTTAAGGGCAATCATTATGTCAGATGCAAACCTCTTTCTCTGCCTCCTCTGGAGTGGCATGAGCAGTATGGCCCTCCTGCCAGAGAAATTCAAGAGTCCTCACAAAAGGTTTCGTCCGCATCTCCCATCTTGTGACATTCGCCCACTGAATTAAATTAGCCATGACAAAATACCAAAATTTAACCCAAAATTCCTCTAATGAAAGTTGAAGCACGCTGCAAATGATGTGAGAAAGCATAATACCTGATTAACCATAAGGGGAAGATCACGGTAACTATGAATCCACTGAGTGAACATGTGATTTACTATGGTTTCACTTGTGGGTCGAACCTGCACACCTTCGGTCATAATTATTCAGTAACTTCAATAGTTTGAACACAATAGGTCAGCTTATACAATCAAATACAAAATATGAAAAGAGTTCGCGATAGAGGACGACATACCACAAGTTTCTCTTCAAGCTCCTTCCCTCCTCCTATTGTCACAACTGCTAATTCAGGACTAAATCCTTCAACATGACTAGCTTCTTTCTCTATAAATGAGTAGGGTATAAACTGCAGCATTCCACATAATCAAACAACTCAGAGTTATAACTTGTAAGTATATATTAAAATTTGGAATAACATAAAAACCAAAAAATAAAAAAGCATTGTAATTTAATAATACCTGTGGGAAATACATGTTACTGTGACCGGTCTCCTTGAATTTCACATTCAGATAATCCTAGAAAATAAATAACAATTTTTTATAAGCCCCTAAATTTAATTTTAAATTAAGGCAACAAATACAATCCAATGCAAGTAGTAGAGCTAGAATTACTTGAATGGCTTCCCAAATGGCGTAACCGTAGGGACGAATGACCATGGTGCCGCGAACCGGACCGTAATCAGCGAGCTCAGCTTGCTCAATGACATCGAGGTACCAAGCATTGAAGTCCTTCGACCGAGGAGTAACGGCTTGGTCCTGGACTCGGTTGCTTTTCTGAGTGTCGACTCGGTCATCGGTCTCGGATACCGTGGTCTGAGCCGAGAAGGAGGCCGCGAATACTGGAGTACGGAGGATGTGGTGGTGGTGGCGGCGAAGAACAGCCGGAGAACGGCGGGAGACGGAGGGCAAGAAGAGCGAGCTCAGAGAAGGTAATCTCAGTGACACGACCATTTTTGGGGGCTCAGAGACTTGGGAGAGAAGGGAGAGAGATGAGGTTTATGATGCGGTTGTTACGTGGTGAGGC